ATAAAATAACATGATTTTTGTTAAATTACTCATTTACCTTTTCAAATTATGTTAGTAATCAAATATTCGGTATTAGTAAATAAACTTACCAATTTAATACTTGGTATGGTGTTCTTAAGCTTTCAAATAAGGTTTTTCTCATAAAGAACAATTTAATTTTTCGCTTAATTTTGCAAATGAATCAAAATGATTCATTTGCATAATTATTATTTCTCATTCTAAACTTGCTTAATGGCTTCAAAATAAAAAGGTCTTTAAAAATTAATGGAGATACCGTAGAACGGGGTGACTTTGTTAGGATTTTGAGCATTTTTGCAAAATAAATCTGGTTCATTACAATTTTTTCTGATTTTTTTTTCCCGTTATAACATTATACCTTTCCTTTATATAATTCCATTAAATATTTTTAATTTTTTTTCGTCTTAATATATATATTTTTAATCCAAAATGTTATCAATCTCACCCCGTCGTTTGGGGTGACTTTGATAGTCTATTATTTCTTAATGGCTTATTGATTTAACCCTCTTTACAGTGTCGCTAATACTTTCTTTTTGACTTTTACTAAATTAGAACACAACATATTAATAAACTTATAAGATTTACTGGTAAAATTATAAATTTAGACAACAAGTTTGGTTATCGAATATATCTACAGAATGGACAAAGAAAAAACAAAAATAAATTTGATGTTAATATGCTAAACACAGAAAAATAATATATCAATAACATTGTTATAGTAATTAGCAGTTATAAAATAACACTAACAAAAAAATAATACTAATTGCATATAAATATTAAGTACTGATTTACCCTGATTTACACTGATTTTTCTGCAAATGTGATTGAGAGTAACCAAAAACGTGTGGTATATTCCAGTGGTATTATAACTGGAAAATACCACTTGAATATCTAAGTATAGATTTTTAGAAAAAAAAAATTTCAAAAAAATTAAAATCACAAGATTTTTTGGCATTTTTTGGTACGTGCAAAAACCGTTACTTTTTTGTTATAGTCATGTTATTCCTAACACATTTGCACAATTTAGAATCACTTCACAATCATTAAAATTTCAAAAATATTAGCAGAATATAATTATGTACAAGAATAAAAAAAAAAAAGTCTCTAATTGTGCAATTTCACATTCAAATCATTATTTTTGTAACTAACAGACGAAATTATCAGTCACCCCGCGTATCAAAGTCACCCCGTTCTACGGTAAATCATACTTCTACATTTAAATGTAAGATAAATTTTTATATACAATTAGTTTATATACATCATTGATTTTCATTTTATTAAAAAATATTGAGGAATGTGCAGAACTAAACTACAAGTTTATTTTATTGGGTTTTATTAAGAAGCATTAATAAATTTAATTAAAAAACATTTTAAAAATTTGTTTGAGACGTTGTGCTCCTTAAAAAAAATAAGAGCGAGAGAAACGCGAAAAAAAGTAGTTAAAATTGAATTTCGAGATTACTTAAAAATTAAGTAACATTAATGGCTAATAAGAAGCAAACCACCAGTAAACGTTTAAATTTAAATTAAAGACATTAGATTATTCAAAGTAAAGTTTAAAGAAAAAAAATTGTTTTTTCTAGCTTCTTTTTGCTATATAAACTAAAAAATCTATCCTAAAAATGATGTATGTTAAGCAAAGTTTGTGAAACAGATTTAAATTCTTGATGGTTAGCAAGCAAAAGAAAGAAAAAATTTAGTAGATGATTTCTTTATTTTGACGATAGCCCTCGAGGACTAACGTCAACCGTGGCAAAACCGAGAGGTTCGATGCCGACTCTGGTCAGATAAGTGAAATTGGTAAAGGAGGCGTGAACTTTCTAGTTAAATTCTTTTCTGCTCTGTGATGAGATCGTAAGGGCTTTTTGGAGCACCTTAACAATCACAAAATAAAAAAAATTATTAAAATTTTATTCATTTAATTGAGTAATATTTTATTTTCGTGATGTGGATACAGAGAGAGGATATCAGAATTTCACACAGGAGCGAGTTGAGTAAAAAGTCAAAATTGTATGACATTAAAAAACATTCTTTAAAGCCGATAAATATATTTTTTCATTGAGTTGTATATACTTTTTATAATTTATTTTAATCATTATTAGTCTAAATAAACATAATTGAGAAGTTATTATCAAAAACAACACAAACATGATAAAATTTTACTTTAAAAATAAGTACTAAAATCTTTATAAAGAAGAAAATGAAACAGTACAAAGAAAAAAACAATCAATACTAAATCCTTTTATATTTCTTATAAATTTTATATCCTATTTGCAAGTCATCTAACTATTTCTATTTCTATTTCTATATATATATATATATATATATATATATATATATATATATATATATATATATATATATATATATATATATATATATATATATATATATATATATATATATATATATATATATATATATATATATATATATATATATATATATATATATATATATATATATATATATATATATATATATATATCACAAATTAAAATACAAAATAAGCTAATTGTATATAAAATAATTCAATAATTTGTCCTATCAGCATCATCTAATGTATTAGATTTTTTTTTGTTAGTTAAAATTTCATATGCACTTTGCACTTCCATAAACTGTTTTTGTGCAGCTATTCTTTGTTCAGGATCATGAAAGCGATCAGGGTGCCACTGACGCACCAGGGTTTTATAGGCTTTTTTAATTTCACTCTCTGTAGATGGGTTGCTTAAACCAAGAACTTTATATGCATTTGCTTCTCCCTTAGGATCAAGGGCTTTAACAAACTCATCATAAAGATTTTTCCATCCATTCTTTTTGCCTTCTTCATATATCATCTTTAAAGTCTGAGAAAATTCAAGCCAGGCAGGACTTTTGAAGAAATGAATAACTGAATCTTTAAATTTCACTTTTTCTCCTTTTTCAGTTGTGATTTCTGCATTGAAATAGAGGAAAGATAACCAAAGACTACTAAACAATGCCATGTATACCAAAAGAATTGCAATGCGATGACAAAATAAATGACGTTTGTATACTCGTTTATACTTCCGAAAATAGTTAAATGTCACAGTTGCAGCTAATGAGCAATACATGAAATTAGGTGTATTACCAGATTCACTGTCCGATAACCAAAACAGTATAGAATAACAGCAAAATGTTGCACAAAATGGTTTTATAAACCCACCTTCATCTCGACCGATATTGCCAACAAGATGCACACCAACCGTAATTCCAACACATATTAAAACCATTGATATTATTGCAGGTATATCAGGTGGCAGTGCCAACCGAATAAGAAATCCGTAAAAATATCCCACTAAAAGTTCACCAGAAAAACGTACCACATTAAACTTTGGATAATCTCTAAACCGCATTCTTTTATTAAGCTTATCCATATAAAGAGGATCTTCATTCACATCATCAACATACTCAGGTATCCTCCAGAGATCACGTATCCAGCCAAGTGTAAAAAAACCACCTAATGTGGACCACCACAAAAATGCTTGCATATCTCTTCCCAAGTAAAAATGATGAACCCCAAACCAACCAAAAAATAGCCACAGAAAATAGGTTATGCACAAACTTTTTTTGTTTTCCATAATAACAATGATACTTCAAAAAAAAAAAAAAAAAAAAAGTTAAAATTAAAGAATAATGAAAACAACAATTTTAATATCTGTTTGCAGCACAAATTTCAAAACTTTGTTTACTTTTTGTCAACTTTAAAACTTTGTTCTTGAGTCAACTTCAGAAATATTTTACTGCATAAATATTTGCTAATTTTTCCTAAAATAAGCTATAAAAAAATAATTTTTTTTCATTATTTTTTTATAGCTTTCATTAAATTTTTAACCAATAAACAGAAAATGTTAACACACAAGATATTTTTAACATATAAAGCCACGAGAATGATAACAATGAACACACATTTTTTAAAATATTAAATCAATAGGTCTATACAAAAAAAAAAAAAATCGAAAATGTAGCTTGTGGTGTAAAAAATTATATAAACTGATGATATAACACCACAGAATAAACAATTTTTCACATTAATACATATTTATACATATTTTTAACTTTATTAAGAAATATTACAAAATACAAATAAAAATATTTTATAGTATGTAAACAATATTAAATATAATTAAAAAAAAAACAAACAAATAAAGTTGTATATTATATAAGCTAATCCGTATATAGGCCTATATATAAATATTTATATTAAATAATTATTTAAAATGCATATATATATATATATATATATATATATATATATATATATATATATATATATATATATATATATATATATATATATATATATATATATATATATATATATATATATATATATATATATATATATATATATATATATATATATATATATATATATATATATATAGTCGAAATATGTATTGAATAATAAAATGCTTTTAAATAAAATTAAAAAAATTTGTCTTATTTTTGAAAGTAATATTACATTTTGTGCTGAAAAGAAGTTTTGGCATTATATATATATATATATATATATATATATATATATATATATATATATATATATATATATATATATATATATATATATATATATATATATATATATATATATATATATATACATTTTGTGCTGAAAAGAAGTTTTGGTATTATATATATATATATATATATATATATATATATATATATATATATATATATATATATATATATATATATATATATATATATATATATATATATATATATATATATATAATCATAAAAATAAACAAACATGATAAAGTGCTAAACATATATTATACTAACTAAACAGCATAATTGATTAAAAATCTCATATATATTTTTGTGCATGAAATGTAATAACTGTGCATTAATATCATTAAAACTAGAATCTTTAATGCTTAAGAAATTTGCATTTCATGACATCACTTTCAAAGGTCTACAGCTGAATCAATACATTGGAAATTAACCTTTTTACCTAAAACACGTGTCAAAACTTCTTAAATTTTTTTTTTTAAATACTTAATATCTATAAAGTTATGACCTTTAGAAATAATTGTTTATTTAAAAATTAAATTTGCTTGAAACAAAAAAGTTCATAAGCAATATACTTCGGTAGGTCTACGGTCTTGAACTTTGGCAATAAACTTAATAAATTATAATTTAATGTTCAGACTTTTATGTCTTAGGTTCAGGTCCGCTATGCGGGAGAGAATGAAAATTGTACGATATCCAGGATGCCAAGATATCTTAGCCTTTTTTTGCAATATAATTTAATAATATATAATGGTTCAGAAAAAAAATTTGGTAAACAATTATTTATTTTTATGTGACATAAAATTTTTAAATCGATCAAATACAATATTGTTATAAATGATTGAAAAGAGTTGAACAAAAGTTTTGTGATATATTCAGGCCCGTATGAAAAAAAAGTTATATTTAGAAAGAACGGGAAAAAAGTGATCTGTGAGGAGGGGGGCGAGTGAGGGAGGCACTTCCCCCCTCCCAGACACACTGACGTTTGTGCCTCTCCACTTCGAAACCTGTGTCGTCGGCCCTAGATACGTCCTCCCTCAACCCGGGTGTATAGTGGAACTAAAGTCAAAAATAGGTACCTAGTTTGGTTAAGTTAATAGGGTTTCTGGGCATGCTTATTTTTAATGAAATTTGACTGAGAGCAAGAAAAATACAAGAAAAAAATACCAGCAGAAGCCTGAATATACAAGAAAAAAATACCAGAATTCCTTCAATATATGAGCTAAAAACGGTAACCTGGTCACTGTTTTTAGCTCATATATTGAAGGAATTCTGGTATTTTTTTTCCAGTACAGGCCTGGTCACCGTTTTTAGCTCAAGACATTGCCAAATTTGAGAAAGTTCAACACCGAGCCACAAAACACACTGCCTCCCTTAAACACCTTTCGTATGCTCAAAGACTATCAAGCCTTAACCTGACAACACTAATTGAACGACGAGAAAAAGGAGACCTTATCGAACAATATAAAATCATGACCAAAATTGATAAAGTTAACTTTCACGTCCCTCAACTTTAACTTAACACGGAATCTTTAAAGTACAGTTTTCGGCCACAACTTGTTCAAAACTGCGCTGAAAGAAGCAACTTCTTCACCAACCGTATTGTAAAATTATGGAATTCTTTAACCCAAAATACGGTAGACGCAAAGAATTTGAACAATTTTAAACACGAACTTTCTCTGCTACGGCATCTTCGCTTAAGCTGAAATTTAAAAACTGTATTTTTATAACAGAGAGGCCTGGTATGCCGCTTTTTAAAAGACGATACAAAATTTGGACGAAGAAAACGGTTCCGTTAAGGTTGGATTTACGCACACCTGTTATTTATGCCTGATGCACGACTTTTATAAATTTCAATTTTTTGATAACAAATCGGGGGGCAGAATAAGCAAAAATGTGAGATATATGAATCGCAGATTTTAAAAGAGAGACATTTGTTGAAATAGTTAAAACACTGATCTTAAAATTCATTTTTATATATATTATATATATAGTTATATTTTGAGTTATATATAGTGATTTAAAATAGATACAAAATCAAATTTTTGAAATAAATATCAAAGTAATTATAATCTAAGTATTGAATATCAACTCAAGATATATATTTTATTTTATCAAAATTTATTTGTACAAAAGATTTTTTTCTGGTAAAATCTCAAAATTTTAATAAAGTTTATCTTAGTGATAGGCATTTTATCTGTTACGCAAGAATCCCGTTAACTCGCACTCTGAACGGGTATATATATTTTGCCCGATATAGCGAATGTCCGAGTTAAGCGAAGCTTTTGGTATGTGTAGAGAATTCAAGGGGAATTGAAAATTTGTCCGACTTAGTAAAAGTCCAACTTATCCAGGCATTCTACTGTATTAATTTAAAGAAATGGAAAAAAAATGAGAGTTCAAGTAAATTCAAAAAGACCTATAAATGAGTTTCTCGTAAAATAAATATCCTTGGTTATACATGAAGCATACTCTGTACCAGACTACTGGTTAAGAACATTATTTGCACTTGTTGGTTATAAAGAGTTAAACTTTTTGAAAAAAAAGTTCTAATGTTTCTCAAATGCAAGTTATAAATTCATGAAATAGAAAAATGAATTATGCACAAAGCATAAAGAATAAATTGGATCTAATTTTCCATCACTTTTTCAGTTATTTCTTTTTCCGACTATATAAAGTCTCCTTTTCAAAGTGAAATTTGGAAAAACTGATTTTTCTGTCTAAAGAAAGATGCACAAGTTTGCTTTAATCATTTTAAAGATAAAGAGTCTACATTAAAAAATCATTTTCCCACTGAAAAACTTGATTACAATTCTAGACATAAAGTTGCTATTTTGTACCTCAGAATGACAGAACTAATACTGACTCCACACAGCCTTTACTTAAAAAAAATAAACTAAACGTAAACTCCACTACATACTGTTATACCATATTTTGTTGATCAAATTGAAACACTTTTTCTGTTAAACAGCCATGTTCTAGTTCCTCATTACTTAGTATCAACTTCAGTCCAGAAAAACATTGACTTTATGATTGAATTAGTACCAGTAGTAGTAGAGGTAGTAGATTTTTAAATTTTTATTTATTTATTAGGTTCTTCAAAAAGTCCTTACGGTCTTATCACAGACCACCGCAAATGAGCATTTAATTGGAAGTTTACGCCTCCTTCCTACCCGATATCGTAAAACTTGGCTAGAGGTGGGGTTTCAATCACGGATCCTTTGTTTCTGAGAAAGTGAGCTAACATTGCAACACAGCTGCTCAAAATATTGTGACATATTATTGTGACATACCATAGATGAAAATGAAAATTAAAATAATCTACTTCCTAGTGGGTACAAGACGTGTTTTAAACGTCTAAAATATGTACTAATACGTTTTCAAACGTGTTTTAGACGTTTAAAACACGTCCTGTGCCCAATGGATTTCTAATCTTTATGATTTGTCTCAAGCACAAAACTCAATTTTTTTTATAAGTAATCTGAAAAAAAGTTATATTGGCAAATTACAAAAATTAAACCATTATCTTCTATTTCAAAACAGAAAATTACGAACTCAAGTAAATATAATTAAAAATAAATTCAAAAATAATCTTCAAAAAAAGCCTACTAACAGTTAGCAAACAGTTACTGCAAACAGTTAACTACAAACAGTTAACAAACAACTGCCGGCGCGATAGGTGTGTGTGTGTGTGTGTGTGTGGGGGGGGGGGTGACACTTCTCCCATCAATGAATTTTAGTTGGCGAATTTGACCCTTAGTCGGTAAATTTGACCCTTTTTGACTAGTTAGTCGGCAAACGTAGACCCTTTCGATAGGTTAGTCGATAATTTAGACAGTCAGTCGGCAAATGTCGTCATGGCAGTCGGCAAATTTTTGAAAACGAGGACCTTTTTTTTTTTTATTCGGCAAAAATTGTAATGGCACCCCGCCGCGCGTGACACCTACTCGCGCCGGCCCTGTATATATATATATATGTATATATATATATATATATATATATATATATATATATATATATATACATATATATGTATATATGTATATATATATATATATATATATTATATATATATATATATATAAATATACAAATATATATGTATAAATATATATATACATATATATATATATATATATATATACATATATATATATATATATATATATATATATATATATATATATATATTTATACATATATTTGTATACTTATATATATATATATTTATACATATATATATGTGTATATATATATATATATATAT